GAAGATCGAATTAATACACCTCGACCGCGCGCGTGCGTGTGTGTGTGTGTGTGTGTGTGTGTGTGGGTGGTGTGTGTGTGTGTGTGTGTGCAAACTGGCACACGTAATACACACACGCGAATATACGAATCTCGAATCTACATTGACGCCAATAAAGAGAAAATACTGACGCAAATAACGCAGTAATAATTCATAAGAAGATCTGATTGTTATATGACAATGTACTCATTGTCATTACGCGATAGAATTTTTTTTTACTGCGTACTCTGTTTGTGAAATAATCGCAAGATCGAACGCTTCTGCGATAAAATTTCGGGAAAATGTTGTACAAAAGAAATGTTTTCTTATAAAAATATCAGTGAACCGATAAAGCATAACAAGGCATATCCTAATCGACTCCCTTCCCAATTTTTCAATTCCCATTTTATGTTTCGCGACGTGTTTTCCACTTGAAAGCGCACGAAAAAATCCACAAAGCGAAATAGAAATTGCCTTGCCGGAAGTTTCGAGAGTGAGTCATATATGCATATAAAACGTACTCTTTCTGTATCCACATATTATACTACAATATATTACACATATAGATCAAATATATTATATATAAGTGGATATTAAATTCATAATTTATAATTGTTGTATGTATGTAATTTTATTTTCCAAATCTGCTGATAAAATAAATTCTTGTGATCATTTCTCTCGTATAAAAAGGATGGATAAAGGGTGAACATAATGTTATATCCAGTATATCACAGTATTATTAGAAAATCTTTAACATACTTAGGCTCTGTCAAGAGTGAGTTTGATTAATAACCCAATTTCAGAATAACTCCGCACGATGTGACTGGGTTAAAGGTAAATAAGTTATTGAGTGGAGCATGTTTCTGTGACGCTGCCTTGATTATTTCTTGAGCCATGACGCCGCCAACAATAGAACAAACTGGACTGAGTTGTGCATACAAATCGCCCCTATGATTATGAAAATATTATTGTACATATACATTTTTTTAATTAATTCATATATCAGAATTATTATACATACTCTACTAAGTCATCTATTTTGTCATCTAACTCATATTTTTTAATAATTGCAGAAGCCTCGTTTTTCAAGTTTTCGCAACCTCTTTCGCTAGGCAATGGATCGTCACCATACTTTTCGCGATAATTCAGCATTACTGAAAAACAAAAAAAATTTGAAATGTCTATTAAATACAAACTCATATTTCAAGACATACTTAGCATTATATAGTAGATTTCTTCCTGCCTTTTTAAAGATGTCTTTGGAACATTTAAAATAAACTCAAATGGTACAAAAGTCTCTGTACGCTTTTCACTAACAATTATGGTTTCGATCTTTTCTTTACCCATAGGTTCACCACCTTCTGGTATTGTCACTCTTTTTAATTTTGGTACGTCTCTAAAGATTTCAAATAATTCATTAACAAAATATTTGTGTTTTAATGCATATAGGAGAGAAAATTATAATGGTACAAGTCGATAATGTGATTGTTAAAAATATTGTTTTCTATTTCAATCAAAAACTCCACAAATTTTATTTGATCTATTCAATGCATCAATATTTAATTTATTTCACTATGAAATTAAATTGGAGGACATGTTGAAAAAAAGAGAAACATGAATATAATTCAACAATTCAAAATTTCTAACTTATACCATTGCGATTCTCAAATTCTCATTATGTCAAGTGTTTTAATATTGATACATACTCTAGATATTCATGTTCTTGTAAGTCAATGAATACATAACCAATAGTTCCCCATACATCCCCAGCAAAGAATTTCACTTTCTGATTTCTACATGCTCGGTTTATTCTTTTCAATTGTGTAATAGTACAATGCATAGCGCATACTATATCAAATTGTCCAAAGTATTCATCAGGCTTATCATCAATGTTGCCTGAGTCTGCACTAACGTTAACCATAGGATTCAAATTTTGTGCTCGTGGCAATGATGCTTCAGCTTTCTGTAAATATATAATTATTTTAATATATATTTATACAAGATTAATATTAATCTAATCTGTTTAATATGTACATTCTTTCCAATATCTTCTTTTGGTATGAAGAACTGCGAACATCTATCCAACTCTGTTACATTTCTATGATCTAAGAACGTAACACTGTTGACCCCAGATAGAATAATATTTTTAGCAATTTCAGCGCCAAAACCATCCAATCCTATCAAAAGAACTTTCGAAGCTCGTAATCTATAAAAATACAATTGAAAAACAATGTTTTCATTAAAATTCTATATACAAACGATGCTCCAAAATATTTGTGTCTATTATAAATTATATATACTATATATGTAAAGCATGCATATAATCAATAGCAAAAAAAAAGCAAATCACGTCTATTCCAGAAATTCTTTTATAGTCGTGTAATGCAATTACAATCTGCAATTTCACAAAACGCCGGTACTATTTATAAGAGTTAGGCTATATATACATATATATATATATATCAGCCTTACCGTTTCTGCGATTCTAAACCCCATAAACGAAGTTGCCTGTCGTATAGTTCGGCTTCGTGATCTGTCAGTTCTTCCGTCTGCTTGTGATCCAACATTATGAAAAACTGTTTGTTTATTGCTGCAAGACACTTGCTAAATCGCCGCCAAAAATGCGTCACAGTACGGAGCGCAATAAATATGGCGAATTGTGTATATAAACTACTTTACTTAGGCCTGTTCTATAATGCGTCGATGTTGTGGGTCGTAAGAATGGGCCAGTCATAATCAAGTATTCTCCTCATATTCGATTGTGATTGGTCAATTCTTGTGGTTTGTGGCTTGCGATATCGACGTGCGACGTATTGTAAAACAAGCCTTACTACAGTGTCTACTTGATGCTTTGAGATATTTTTTCATTGGTCAAACAAGAATTCTTTATCTGATTGCTTAATCAAAATTTATAGGTTGTGATCTATTGGAAAATTACTAAAGTGTTATTTTTAAATGCCAAGAAAGAGAACATTTGTGTCGATTTGTGCCACTAAATAGAAAGCAAAATTGTGTTCGCAGAATGCAATCATATACAAACATTGTTTCATCTTTCTTCGCATTCAATAAATAACAAGGATAAAATGATATTTGTCTCGATTTATGACTAAATGGAAAGCACTTAATAAGTAGACGTGTCCAATTGGAGGATTCGTTTAAAAATTTTCTAGTGGACCACCTATCAAAAGAGCTAGCACTTAATTGGCTAGCAACAAAGTATTGGTTGGACGCCATGTTAACTACTAATTTTGCTCTATGTTCAGGATTACAGAGAGAACCTTTCATGATAACTCTTTTTGCTGTTTTAGTATTATTATATTTCACTGGACGGCGCACATTCCAATATTATTATATTTCAGAGATCATCACTGAAAGAAGGAAAGGAGAGAAAGACAGAGAAAGAGAATGGATAGGGGGCGTTAAAGAGATGTCGATTGTCACATGAATAGTGTTCTTAAATTTACGGAAAGACACGGAAAGTAAACGATTGTTAATTAATTCATTGCAACTTTATATAAAGATTGTTATTTAAAAAAAATCAAAATTAAATCGTCTACTCAATGACAACACGAGGGATTTCCGTATGTGTTTGTGTGTTACAGAGATTGTGATTATAGAGGTTATATTTATTAATATAAATTCTTAAATTAAGAAATTGATCAATCAAAACGTACGATGGATAACATCGATATCATGGATAACATCAATATCAATAGACTAGTGAGTGTGAGTATACATTGTAAACAATTGCAGATTAAATAATATCAATCAATTTAGGTTACATTCTTAAATTTTATTTTTTCACGGATATTTTTTTTAAATTGCGATATGTGGACTATTGTTGTCTTACGAATCATATTGTTCATGTATAATGTGTGTAATATCAACATTTGATGAATATTAGTAATTCACTTCGTCAAGGCGAGAAGCAATCTGATTATATATCGATATATATCATGTAAAAAGTAAACAAATTTTACTTTTGTCGTCTTCACTTTTACGATCTATTATTCTTATGCTTCCTATGCTCTAAAACTTCAGCTAAAGGTTAGCATTAAGACATCATAGGTATGTTACTTGACATATACTCTACTTGATTTCATAATCGATCTATTCACTTAATATAGTTATAACACACTTTATCACACATTTATTTTATTTGAATATTAATAAAGCATTGAATAGTTCAAATAAATATGTGAGTGATCTGTTTAATCTTTATCATCTAAATTAGAAAAACAAATGGATGTCTACCTGCTCAAGTCAGTACACAACTCCGTATACATAATAAAGGATTAAAACATGAATAAAAACATTATTACTTTACTGTATTGAGCATAAAGCATATAAAAAATGTATATTAAATAATGGAATTGAGCAGAAAAATTTTGTTTTATATTTACCATGTATATAACAAATCTATATATATTTATAAAAATTTCAATTTATAGACTTTGATAAATTAATTTCTCAATGAATGAATCTTATACATTGAGTTTCCTAAATACAAACAAAATAACAATTACGAGTTTGTTTACTGTTGGTCAATATTTTAATATTTACCATACACTATGTCTCATACTAGTGCCCTCGTGAATCGATAAAGCAGGAACGCTCTAACTTTCAAAAAATTTCCCCCTATTTTATTGTTTAAATTATGAATAAAAATTCACAATTCACATTCAACATGTTAATCAATGCATCCATTTGGACTGACATTGAAATAAAGATTGATCAAATGGTCATATCGCTTCAAATAACGAATAATCGGTGCTCATATTTTACAATTTTTTGCTTATATTTTACAATTTTTCTCACACGACAAACATTACGTTTATTTTTAGATTTGATTTAGAGAACATTTGATAGTTTCATAAATTACGTATGCATTCAAATTTGTAGTTAATTAAAATTGACGGCAATTATTATTGAAAAAATATAGACAATAAATATAATCGAAAACTGCTGAAGATTATCTTTGCCCTCTTAACCCGAATGTTGTGAAAGCTGACCTTGGCGAGATAAATGTACCGACTTTTTTCAAAGTCTTTTAACGTCCTATGTACAAGCTGATAAGAGCTAATTATGTAGAATTTATTACTCTAATCGGTTATTAATTGTTTCGTATAATTGCCGCATTATACTACTAGGATATATCATTTTATGTATTTACACATATCTTTTCATAAATACAAATTCATGAGATAAATAAGAATTCTAGAAATTAAAAAAAATATCGATTGGAAAAGTAAAGAATTAATAAAATCTGTTATCAGTGCGCATTTTTTATTAACAACAATTATAGTGTGCAAATTCATAATTGAAAATTTGTATATAATAATTATAAATTATAAATTTATATATAATATATGATTATTAATATAAAATAAACGCGTACTGATAATTTTTAATTTTTATTAGCCATTTGGTTCTGCAAAGTCATTGTAAAAGACTCATATGTCAAATAAATGGATATTGTTGAAGACGATGAATAAAGCAGAAGAAGAATACGTTGAAAAAACATTTGTGTACAAGTTTCCAACATGTACTACGAATCAAGAATACACTCTGGAAGTTCCGCTAAAAATACCGTATCACGGCTCTATAAAAGAGTTGATGCATCGTATAATGTCATCGTTCAAACTACCATCTTACGTCCAATCAGATTTATTAGAAACATTGCAACGCGATATCAAAGAGCTTACTTTACAATTTCACGATGAGAAGGCGGAAAAACTTATTGAAGCTGCCAAGGCAGGCAGTCTGGATTTAGAAGATATAATTAAAAATTGGGAAAAAATATACAAACAGAAAACAGTGGAATATTCCGATCCCATTGGAACTTCGGATGAGGAATTATTTGCTGCGGCATATCACAGATTAGTGCATTCTCCATCTTTAGAACCAATTCTGCAAGCGGAACACAAATTTGGACGAGATGTTACTGAAGTAATTCAAATGAGAGATACTGATTATGAGCACCTTACGCAAAAGTTAGTAATACCTTATGATCCTCCTTTCCATTTTTCACTTGCATATATCTCGTATATAGTCTCAGATATGAAGCGTAAAAAGTAAAAAAATCACTTAGCAATAAAAATTTGAAAGTTTATCTGTCAATTTATTTATATGCATCTTTCAATTATCTTATTTTAATAAAAAAAATTAAGGAAAATAGAAATATCAATTTTGGAAAAGAAAGATCGTACGTTAAATTTCAGACAAACTGATGAAATGCGCGTTGCCGTCGAGGCTCTTGAAGCAGGATCTACTGAAAAGTCCATAAATGACATGGCAGGTCGACATTTCGAAGAGCAGAGCTTACTGCAGGGTTACTGGGGATCGAGAATTGACGCTTTAAGATTGGATCAACGACGGCAATACCGAAATTGGATCATGAGACTGCTCGAAGAGCAACAAACCAGTATGATATCCACGCCAATGTAGGTTTTTCTCTTCCACGTTTTGATAACTACTTCCATAGCAAATAAATTTTCTTTTATCTCATGTATATAGAGAAAAATGTCTTCTTTTTTTTCATACGATAGGGGTTCACCTATGGTACCATTACCGCCATTGCGTCCAGCTTTGGATAAATTCGTTCACAGTGAGGAGAAACAAACGACCGATTATCCTCTATTGGAAGAAAGCTTCACCATACATTTGGGATCTCAGATGAAACAAATGCACAACATACGTATATTGACCGGAGACGTGCTCGATTTTTGTCGTACGAAAAACAGCGAGTCCGGGTACATCTAATAAATTTTATCAAAATGTGAAATATATTTGAATATCGTATTTTCCTAATGTCTAACAATGTATTTCTTTTTCCTCAATTAATTATGATAGAAGTATATTAAATTTAGGATGGATCCAACGCCACAAAGATTGCAGACAGCATTAGGACTGTACTCGAACGATCTGTGTGGATTAGTTCTCCTAAGTGATAATCATTTAGGCAGTTATTCTGGAATAACAAAAGGTGCATTTTAGATTATAATTAATTTTTCATACGTCTATCTTGATAATAAACGATATATTGTTGCAGAATTATGTTCTATATGCCAACTAACAACGGAATTCCATTTTCCGCCTATCGATGAACAGTTGGAAAAAATTCGAGAAGACGTGAAGGACGCCGTTGCCTGGAGGCAAGCGCATTACAGAGAAGGAAGCGATCCCCATGTAGGCACATTAAAAAGATAAATTTACGATTAGGAATATCGACATGCAAAATACGTATATACGTACGTGTTATTTACAGGCGAAAAAATCGACGACGAGCAAAAGTCTGCAAACAGGCGACGTTTTTATCACGAGACATTCCAATCTGGCGCAAGTTCACGTAGTGTTCCACATGGTGGTCAATGATTCCCTGCGATCCGGTAAATAACTATAAGTTATAAATTTTCCGTGTAACGAGTTACGAGAGTTGAAAGGCATGATATTCATTTTAGGTGATATCAACTCAAGACATCCCGCTATTCTGGGATTGCGAAACATTTTGAAGACGGCATGTTGCAACGATGTAACGACGTTGACAATACCCGTGTTACTTGTTCACGAAATGTCAGAGGTAATCTATCGTTTGGATAAGACGGATCAGACGGATAATTCTTAGATAATTAGGTAAAAAATATAAATAATCTACGTCGACATACTGTAGGATATGACGGTTGCCTGGTGCACGAAACGAGCCGAGCTAGTCTTCAAATGCGTGAAAGGTTTCATGATCGAAATGGCATCTTGGGGTGGAGCAGAGCTGAAGAATCTGCAATTTCTTGTGCCGAAAGTAAGTCTGGCGATAAGTGTAATCCGCTGATATTGAAAAAAAAAAAGAAATTATATTCAATCTTATCACTTGCAGGGAATGTCGGAGGAGGTGTTTGGAACGTTAGCCACAATGTTGCCTAGTATATTTCGGGTGTCAAACCCGTTGGTTTTTAAGGCCACCAGCACTCCGCAAACTCCGAAAAAGTAAACGATTTCTCTTACCCCACTTATCATTATGTGCATTCGTAACGTTGCCATATTTATTATTATATATCACTCGTATGCAGTCGCAATTATCTGTCGCGGGTGCGAAAAAAGATACAACTCTGAATAAATGTCTGACTCTTAATGAGTTTTTTGTTTGTATTATTTTCACACTATTGATTTCCCACCGAGTCAAACTGATATTCACAATACCAATGTTATTTTTCACCAAATATTCTGCGATTTATTCAATATATATTTTTCTTTTTAGCAATATTAATAAAATATTTTAACATACACATTTTTTATCTTGCTTTATTTCCTTGCCTTCATTAATTATCATCTCTAAAATTATATGGATTCGAAAATAATATACAACAGCTTTATGATCTTAAATTTTAATCTTTATAATTGCGAAGTTTCAAAAATAACGCATAGCATTTTACGCGCGATAATACGCTAATCACGAGATGCATGAGTGACATCGTTATCATCGTTAGACACGTGATACGGGGAGCGAGGTTTATCACTTTTCGTCTGTATTTTTATCCTCGGGTGCATGGGTAGAGCAGATATGTTAACATTATTCGAGAATGAGTCCGGTCGCGAGAGAGACAACGTTAACTTGTCACATTCTAACGATCCATAAATTTTACACAACTCGAACATGGAGATAATGGTCGATATATTTGGATGTCCGATAGCTGAACAAGTTGAAATATATCCGTGATTAGTTGTGACAAAAAGACAATCGTTGACCGAGACTCGGCGCGAAGTATGCGGTGAGCGTGATCCGTGTAATCAATAGTTTATCAAAGAGCAGTACGTTAGCCTCGGCAATTCTGAACTTCTGACCGGGAACGGATTATAATTATAACGCTTTTTGACTTTCACAGCGCTCTGTCTTTCTCTCATATTACTTTATAAAAAAAGAAAAAGATATTTGTTCGCGGGAACAACGTAAATCATGTTCGAGAGTCTTATCGAATTGTTGCGAATGAAACAAATGTATAAGTAACTAAGTAAATATTATATGCCAAGTACATTACACGATAACACGATAACAGAATTTCTTTACGAATTCGTATACGAACGGAAAATAGCAGGAAAATTATTTTGTTACTATGATAGCGTCACATCATATTAATGTGACGAAACAATTTTCAGATCAGATCGCAAGGAAGATTCTTAGATAAGGTGAAAAAGCACGACTTCCTTAAGGGAGATGGATTAGCCAAAAGTATTGCCAAAGTGTGGAGTGCATTATAATGCAATTGACTCTTTTGCCCCCCCCCCCCTCTTAATTCGGCATTACATCTTCGGCGGAGAGTCACGAATGAATTCGTTGCCATTCCATTGGATCGCGGCGCGGGAAGCATAGTTCGCGTTAGGTGATCTTGAGTGGTGCGATCGGTGATCGATCGGTGGTTGATCGAGTGCATTGGAGATCGAATCGTTCCGAAAAATCAACAAGTCTAGATTATTTTGCTATCTGATACGATGTGGTTCAGATCGCTCGTGTTTTTCATCGTCATCGCTTCGTACGTCTCGGCGACAATGGTGGGTCGATTTTTTTTTCGCGGTAACTTCTTTCTTTTCTTTCTTTTAAATTATCTCGCTTGCAAACGATCGTTCGCGATTTTCCAAAATACTCGCGACACTTTCATTTATGATCACGAATATCAACTTCCGGTTAAATATCAGCTTATCGCTTTCTTAAACTACGTGTTCTATTTTCTCGCGGGAATAATCATCGCTCGTAATTTAAATGCGCTGGAACACATTTAAATTTTACGAGAAGTTTCCTTTCTCACTTTTGATATAAATATATAAAATACTGTTAAACTAACGAAATACCGGCTACAAATCTCCATTTGATTGTACGCGTATTCTAATAATGACAAAATGTTTTACATAAGTGAGATTTTGATAAAAAAAACGACTTACGTTGCAGATTGACTTGTCATTCAAGAAACTGAAGAAGGAAGATTTTTTCGTGAGAATGCAGACCCAAATCAGTCTGCAAAAAGTGACAGATCTTAATCTGAGAGGGAACGAATTCGACAGTTTTCTGGATTGTTCTACCAATCTGGAGACTTTACGAACGCTGGACTTATCGCAAAACCATCTTCAGCGATTTTTCTTCCTGTGTAAGGACGAGTACAATTTGCAAATGTTAAACGTGAGCCACAACAAGCTGGAGTACATCGATGACAATGCTCTCAACGATCGGATACCAAAACTGAAAATATTAGATCTTTCATTCAATAAGCTCACTATTGTTAACGAGACTATGCTGCAACATCTAACGGTAATAGAATTTCGTAAACCCCCCTCCGCGTTTTGAATTTTTTACGCTGATTACCCGTGAAATCTTTTCTTTTTTTGCTCTTCCCACTTGTAGCTTGTCGCTACAAGATATATTACGGTTCAACTTTCTTTTTAGATTCTCGAGTATCTATCTCTATCTCACAATCCGATAGGGGATGGAATACACGAAAATGCATTTTGGACTTTAAAGGCGCTGAGACACCTCGATTTGAAAAATATATCCGCGCCGTACTTCTCGCCGGAATTCTTCAAAACCTTGCAGAACTTGTCGGTCTTGGACCTGTCCTGGAACCCGATCAGCGCGATACCGCTGTTACCGATAAGTTTACAGGAGCTGGATTTATCCGGCACACAAGTGATAAATCTGGAAAATTTGTATCTGCCGCAGTTGCGAGAGTTGAGGCTGAACCACATGCCAAATTTGACGTCGCTGACGCTGAACGATCTCGAGAACCTGACGAATCTGGAAGTATTATCGATGATCGGATGCAAACGACTGATTCAGCTCAGTTTTAACTTGCAGAATAACGTCGTACTACCGCGGCTGCAACGTTTCTCGATAAAAGACTCCGGTCTCGAGACTTTGGGTACGGAGCTGCATTCATTGTTGCAACGAACGCCTGTCGTCGAGGTGGCAAACAATCCCTGGAATTGCGATTGCAAGTTGCAATGGATCGGCCATTTGAGAATTCTTCGAGACATCAGGTAAAATATCGACGTTGGAACGTTTACTCTCAGTTGGTATAAGTTGCCGTCGTTAAGACAAAACGAATTTTTAATTGGAATTTTTAATATTCTTTTTTTTTCAAATTCATTTCAATTGCATACAATCCCCTTTAATAGATATCAGAAATATTACATCTTAACGAATGTTGTGTAAAATGATATGACGGTAATACTTGTATCTCGTGCAGCTCATCGAGCTTCAGCTTTACTTCTTCAGAGGTCTCGAGAATCTCCGAAAAAAGAAATTTTCATTATCTCGATATCAATACCTTGCTAATGATGAATTCGATCTGCCAAATTCTCTTATCTCAACGAGACGTAGATATTAATTGCTATCTGCGGTACATTTTGAATCATGTTTGCGACCAAAAACCATACTGAGATTATAAAGACATAACCGAGCGTTATATTTGCACGACAGATGCCACACGCCAGATCGGCATCGTGCCAAGCTCCTGGCTGAAATACCAAGTTACGAACTACAATGCGAATACGACTCGCCGATCATCTATCCGATTCTGTGGACAGGCCTCTCGATATTGATCGTTGCCCTGATCGTCGCAACAGTCTTGGTTCTCCTCAAACGGCCAATAAGCCAATGGAGCTTCAAGAGAAGGAACGGGGACACCGTCACGTACAAAAACGTCGTGGAGTCGAACAATGATCTGGTCCGAATACTGGCAGTGTCCGAGACACACGAACGCAACGAAGAATGAAGCCAAATTGAAAGTGGAAAGAGAAAGAAGGAGCGGACGAAAAACGATTACTTTACTAATAATGTAATAGTAATGTAGTGTAATTGCGATACGACCATACGAGGAAATCATGTTAAAAAATTGCCTTATTATTTTCTTTTTCTTTACCAGCGAAATATATATCGGCCCTATTTATTAGAATGTAAATAAAAACATGTATCTGATATTTGATATAAGTAAGTCAAGTGAAAATTAAATTTTTTTAAATACTAAAATTTTTCTAAGGCCTAAATTAAAATTTTCGAAAGCTAAATAATAAGCCGTTTCTGAAAAGCCGATTTTTCATTCGTCGATGACGAATTGCCATACATCCAAATGTACCGAAGTATATCAATAATGAGAGTCTCTCCATACCACGCCTCGTGAACTCGAATAATCAAAAGGTATTCGAACAGTACTCGAACAGCGTTCCCAGTGTCTGATAATAAATAAAAAAAAAAAAAAGAAAAAAAAAAACTGAAACTTCTGTGGTCGAATAAAAAGTGCCTCTTCTTTTTTTCTACCTACGCTAAGAATCAGCGTATTTCGAAAACCCCTTTACCTTTGTTCCACACGGCGCGTCCGTTGCCGTGTGGCACAAAAGAAAGGCAGATACAAAGAATGCAATGGCTCATTTGCCCTGAATGACGGTAAGATCCTCTCTTCCGCGTAACGACGCGGCAACGCGCGGCAACGTACGCACGAATTATCGTGCGTGGCATCTTGAGAACGCGCACGCAACTAATTGAAATGCTACGAGATTCCGCCAGAACGGGTTCCGCTCCCGGTAACCTTCCGATCGACGGGCAAAAAGGAGTCTTTCGCGGTCTTCAGAATCGAAGTCAACCCTAAACGCGAGTCTTCCGACGTTACTCTCTTGTCGTGAAAGAATAGGAAGATATTTCTCGAGTACCGTTTCACCGCTCTGGAGAACAGATTATTAATAATCAAGTTCATAAAGAAGTTTTCGATTCCGCCGCGAAATGTTCAGAGAGAAATTACGCTTTGTGATTTCTTCTCGTTGGCCCATGTATCATGTATATGTGGCCCATGGTATATTAGAAGAAATATTTTTAATCAGAATCTACGATCTATACGATATTACGACGTAACGATCCGTTCTCGCGCCACAGTGAGGACGATCGCGTTTGTTCGTATCCCATCGGACCTTTCGTATGCACTCGCCGACATATACCGGTCGTTGATGAAACGTTAAAGTGTAGGGCGTTACGCGTTTCCGTTCCGAGAAGGGGCGCAATATTGGCGTATTATGCGATGAGCCAGCAAATGGTGCTATGAAGATCGTCAGTTTACGTGACGTGCACCGTGATCGCGTGCGATGTAGCGATCAGCCTTTGTATCGAAGTATGATCTTCCTATGGGAGAACCTATTGGGTTACGCCCGTGCAGAAAGAGAGAGCCCCCCACGGGCGAGGATGTCGTATTACCGGGGGAGTCACAACATGCAAGGAGAGGAGCGCGAGAGAAATCACTGAGGAAAAGATGCGCCGCGTTCTTCCGTTAAATAGAAAAAAAAAAAAGAGTTCGCGATAACTCTCCACGTTAGCCTAATGTAAGTAAGCAATATTCTTCTCAATTTTATAACCGATTTTATAATCGATTTTTTTTCCGAATGATAAGTCAAGCTTTGCAATAAATCCGTGTTTGCCACTTTATCTCGACTTATCTATCTGCAATTCGCCGTCGTTTCCACAAAAATTCAAAAAAATGTTCGATGAAAAGTTTAATTATTTTTTATAAAGTGAAATATAATTTTGTATTTGTATGCTGAAATTTTACATAGGAATTTTAATTTAAAATATTTATTGTTTATATGTGTGAGCTATCGCACTATTTATTTTTTATCTGAAAAATCGCAGTCTCAGATTTAATTCAGCTTCTATTAACGAGAAAATCATCGTTCGGCTCTCCGAACACGTTTATGGTATATCTTTTTGTATACCGGAATATCAATTCAAACTGGCGAGAACTCCGCACCATTTTCCAGCCGGTGTGCGAGTAAAACGATTGAACATTGCGGAATAATTTTTCCACCATACCGAAGAGCGGGCATGGACCACGGGGGGGGAGGGGGGAAGGAGGGAAGGGGTGGGGGGAGGGATGGTTTTGACGGTAAGAGGAGGAGCAGGAAGAGGAGGAGGAATTAACGATAGAGCGTTCTACCCTCCTCGCGCAACGGTGTCGAATGTCCGTAATTCGAGATTCCGTGCGAGCCAATTTGGCGAGAGCCGGTGGAAAAATAATACACCGCCTACCAGCACACGAGACAGATCGCGAGAGATGCGTGCGGAGGCGAATTTTAACGGTCAACGCGAAACACGTGGGCAGACCACGTCTGGGGAATATCGTGTTTCGGGCCTGTGAAGAAGATCCTATCCCCGGGATCTTAAGACGGCCGGGATAACCCGGATGCGGTGGCGTTTTGTTGGAAAAACAGCGTGGGCGATATTGCCTCGTACTCGATGACGGTCCGAAGATACTCGCTGCTGAGTATTTAGCCAAAAACGATATATATCGACACCTTGGGACAACCAATATCCCTCTACGCTCGAGAGTCGGAGGGATTGTATAAGCATCTTGTCGCGAATAGATCCATCTCTTTAACCAGGTTGTGTGTTAAATTCAATTTTTCAAATTCACTAAACTGTAACAGACTCCGAGAAATAATTATTAACGAAACATTTTAATAATTCACCGCGCTGCTTCGGATATGTGCACTGGAAGAAGGCGCTTCTAATTTAATCATCATTTGTTAGAGCGCTTTATACACACGCCATATATATATATTCGCGTAATATATATACTGTGTAC